AGTGTGGTCCCTCGTGGACCATACTAATAAAACTATGTTTATTGATACTGATTTGTATTTGACGGTCTAGGACAGTCAGTTGGGAAAACCCTATGTTACATGGGCATAGAAAATTAACGGATAAGGGTTTTAATAGGTCATCCATTAATGAAGTCAAAGTATACCTAGATGAGCAAACCGAGAGACTATGTGACCCTTGTGTGTGATAGTGGCTTTCAATACGGGGGTCATAGTCTCATCCATGTACCATCACACAACATGCATAATGATAGACCATTTCGGAAAAGTAAACCACTTTTTAGGGTGAAGCTTATGCATGTGCGAGAGATACCCCTATGCGTCATAGAAGTTGTGGTTGCATTAGGTCTAGGTGACATTGGCACGTCCCTAGAGGAGAATATGAATCTACAAACTGAGATTATGACTCCTTTGATCATCGGCCAGACTTTGGTGACACGCTAATGAACCCCTACATGGACTGTGGGTCATGAAAAACATTTGGTCGGTTTGAAAAGGCAAGTGTGGTTTGTAGTCCACATTTGAAGGTGGAGTGCCTCAGTGTTTTATTAATTTAATTCCTTGACCATATGGATCATTTTTTTATCTAGTAAATTTAATTATGTTTATTTTATGATATATATGATTTTAGAATTATTATATGAATTTTTCTAGATCTCTGAATATTTTATTTATCAAATAAATTTTACAATTATTTTATTGAGTTTTAAAATTATTTAAAATTGCATGGGAGCTCATTGTGCATATGGGCCCATCATGGCCTAAATGGTGGGGCTATGAGATCCTCTCATGGGTGGCACACCCCACCATTTTAAAAGCTTTCTATTTTTGTGATAAGTGACTTTGGCTTGTAAGCCAAGTTGCTATGTGTTTTGGAAAAGTATTGGCTTAAGAAAGCTTTGAATAAAATTTTGGAAAGCATGAGAAGGTTTGTGCATTATTTTGGTATACACAATATTATATTTGAAATTATTTTATTTAATTTTTATTGAAGAAAAAATGGTTTAAAAAAGGGGGATAAAGGTTATAGTACCTTCCATAATGTTGATGATCCATCTATGGAATAGATAGCTCAAATCTCTCAATCCACAAGTCACCCAAGATTAACGGTTCATATTCAATCTCACAAGAAAAGACAAGTCAAGGAAAACCCTAAGAAACCCTAATTTTGTTTAAAACCTATAAAAAAGGGATGGTCTCTACCCAAAATCTGTACATACCTTATCTTTAGCTCTCTCTCTCTCAAGCCAAAAAGGGGCACGCCCCACTTTCTCATCTTTGAGATATCTATCTCTCCCACATTGTGAAAACGGGCTAAGGGTTTAGGCTATGGAGTTATTCTCTCTTTCATCTCTCAACTATGGATTTATGGCTAAGGGTTTTAGGGTGTAGCAAAAAGAGAATCCATCTCTCTCAAACTAGGTTGTTAAGGGAATTCACCTAGGGTTTGAGTTTGTGATCAAAAGGGTTCATGTTCCATTAGTGTAGCTTCTCTTAAACGTGTTTTCTGGGTTGAGATTGAATGTTGATCAATGATTCGGCGACATTGGATGGTGGTGACTCGGTGTGGGGGTTGAGGTAATCCCGGCACTCTCTTTTAGTTTCTTGTCATATTTAATTATATTCATAAGAATTATGGATATTGTTTTTTTTTGTTTAAAGAAAATTGGTTTAATGCTATTAAGGTTTTTAAGATATTAGATTTGTTGCTTTTATTTTCTTTGAGGCAAGAGTTGTTGTAATAAAACTACTTGTAAGT